CCCTCTCGCCTCGCGCCTCCTCCCGCGCGGCCATGTTCTCGCCGCTGTCTTGCGACGCCTTCGTCGCCCCGCAGGGCCCGTGCCATGTGCGCCTGCTGAATGTGCGTCCCCCCCCCCCTCCCGCCCATTGGTCCTCGCCGCCGGCGCCTGTACAGCCCCCCGCGCCGCCCCCCCCGCCTGCGCGTCTAACCTACACTCATTTGTCAAGGGTGTTGCCTTCCCGGCATACGTGCTTTTCTGTGATCCGGAAACCGGTTGCATTGGCTGCCTTGTGCCGAGCGAGGCCGCTGCTTGGAATGTACGCCCCGCCATTTTCCCTCCTGCTGCCCTGGCTGTCCGCTTGCGGCCTGGCCATTGTGCTGACCTTCGCCGCTCCCGTGTCGAGCGTAGCTTCGCCTGGTTCCGCGGACCGCCCTCGTTCAGGTGGATGCCATGGCGCCCGGTGGTGACATGCCCTGCCCGCCGGCCGAGCTCCTGACCGCGCTGCATGGCCTCTCTCGGCGAGGGGTGCGTGACCGGGTGAGCGGCCCGGCCGGGGCCTGTTCGCCGGACCTCTCGGCCGATGTGGCCACCCTGCACTGCATGCTCCGTGAGGTGCGTCTCGCCATGTCCATCGCCTCCCTGGCCCGGGCCCTGGATTGTGCACATTCTGACACCCCTGACGGTCGACGGGCCCGGGGTGGGTGGGTGGGGGGGGGGGGGGGAACTCTCATCTTTGGTCACCATGCAGGCCGGTGTCCCGGTCGACCCGCTGCCCGGGGATTCCTCCTCGGTGGAGATGTCCCTCTTCGAGGGTCTGGTAACAATCCGCCTGCTCCGGCCCGTGGCCGAGGCCCTGCAAGCGGGCGGCCCAGACGCCCTGCGGCAAACGTTCCTGGTGAAGGCGGCCTCGCCGTCGTTGGATGTGCGCGCGCACCAGCTCCTGGCATCGACTCTTCTCTCGGGTGCCGGGCGCTTCGGGCCGAAGTAGCACGGCGGCAGGGCCCACCCACCGCCCTAGGTGCCCCAGCCGAGGACGGCATAAAGCCCGACACAAGGGACCAGGTAGCTGGCCCACTTCCATGCGCAGGATGAGGGATGTATTCGCCGCGAGCCGGCCCCCGCCCCGCCCCCATCCGGTGGGCCTCACGAGCACACGCTGTTGATGAGCCGCGCGGTCAGTGCCGCGTACACGGCCGGGCACCAGTGCCGCGCGTCGCCCGGAACCAGCAGATGCCGGGCATTGCTCGTGATGCCGGAGGCATCGACCTTGCCGACGGGCATGTGCCCCGGGGGCCGGGCGGCGGCCAGCTGCGCCGGACCCGGACGCCCATCGGCCACCGGGCCCGCGGTGGCCAGCAACCGGTTGGCCGCCTCCAGCCGCGGGGCATTCAGGCCGACATGTTGCGGGAGCTGTGTGGGCCCGGGCCCGGGGCCGGGCTGGTCGTCACCGGTCCAAAAGACCTGCGGTGTGGTCATGACCACGAGCTGGGCGCCCGGGATGCCGGCCAGCGCGTCACGCACGGCCTCGATGAGAGTCGACACCTGGCATGATGGGCGACGGTCAGTTGGGCCAGCCTCGCCCGGTGGCGTGTCTGTCTGCGAGGCCGAGATCGAGGCGCCTGTCCTTGTGCCAGGCCCTTCCCCGCTTGGTCTTCTTTTTCCTCCCCCTCCCCCCCCCCCCCCCCTGTCCGTCTTCCTTCCCTCACATGCCGGCCATGGTGGCAGTGCGCACCTGCCCCTGGTACTTGGCCAGATCCTCGTAGGCAGCCTCCCACAGCCCGGCATTCAGTATGACCACGTCTCGCTCACGCCACGGCCCTTGGCGGATGGTCTGCAGGGTGGCCGGTAGCGAGTCGCGCAGCAGGCGGATCCGGTGAAAGACGACCGCCTGGTCGGGGATCGGGCCCGGCTCCCCCCCGGGGCAGGGCTGGTCATCGGTCATGGCGTGGCGACGGCGCAGCAATCCCCGCATGTATGTCGACCACTGGAGCAGGAGCGAGTCGCCGATGAGCACCAAACGCCGCGGGCCCTCGAGCCCGCAGAGCACGCGCTCCAGGCTGGCGGCAATTTCATGGTCAAAGGGACCGCGCGCCGTGCCGCCGCCATTGGCCAGATCCAGTCGCTGGCGGATGTACTCCCCAAGTGCGGTGGACTTGGCCATGTGGCGCGCTTGCCGCCAGGGGGTCCTTTGTGTTGCGGGCCCCGGCGGCCCGGGCCCGAGCATGGGGCAGTGATCCGGCTGTCGCCAGGCATCCAGCGCCAGCGGCCGGAAGCGCCAGCGCATCGAATGCACCGGGTCGCACTGACGGAAGTAGATGTCCTCGCGCTGGAGGTCGGCCCAGAGGGCCTCATACCAGCCGGAAAGGTCCGGCAAGTGGGTGTTGCTCTCGTCGGGGTGCTCGCCCGGTGGCCCGTGGGTCTTTTCCGCACGCGTGGTGGACAGGTCCTCCCACACTCCGACGGCCAGTTGGGCACGCTCGCGCAGGAGCCCCTCCACCGCGCTGTCCCCGCCCGGGGTGAAGGGACCAATGCGAGCACCGGCCGCGGCTCCCAGGGAGCTGCCCCACTGCACCACCTCCGACAGGTACAAACATTGGACCCAGTTTGCCAGGTGCGGGGCCGCCTCGAGATCCGGCGCCGACGCCGCCGGGCCACCGGGGTCGGGCTGGGCCCCTGGCGGCCGGTACTGACGCCACAGGCCGGACGCGCTGGTCCGGCTGTCGAGCGTCGACACCACGCGAATGTTCACCCGTCGAGGGATGGGCGCGGCTGTGGCCTCCGGGCCGCCGGTGTCGCGTGGGATGAAAACCGCCAGCTCGAGCTCGGTCCGCCGGCCCGGCTCGCCCGGGCCCATGACACGCCAGACGGTCGGCAGGCGCCGGGCCGGGAGCAGCATGACCCCCGGCTCGAGCGCCTCCACGAGAAAGTGTGCATCCGGGCCGCAGCTGTGCCCCCCCTCCGTCCAGGGACTCGGTCGAGGGTCGAATCCCACGCGCCCGATGAACTGCCTCCCCGCCCCCCCGCCCCCTCAGGCCGGTGAGTGTCCCGCTGATCCTCCTGCGCATGGGGTGATAGACCACAATAAATGCCCCCCGCCCGTCCTCGGCCCTGCCTTATCTGTACGGTCCCTCGCGTGCATGTGCAGGCCCATGCTCCAGCAGCTGCACGCGTGGGGGTCCCTCCCTCTCGGTGGCTCCGTCGTACGCACCCACTCGCCGGTGATGGCCTTCCGAACGCCGGTCATCCCCTGCTCAAGGCCGGGCGGGTCGCCGATCGGGGCCATGTACCGCATAGCGGGCCCTAGTCCGGCCAGCGGGCCGGCCCCATGGAACAGAAGCAGTGCGGCGAGAGCGCCCACGGCAATGGCCACCACGCCCAGGCGCAAGGCTGGGCCCAGGCGCGCTGCCAATCGCCGCCGTACGGCCTTGCTCATGACTTGATGAATGGGGCGCCGGGGGACAGCCGGATCCCGGGAGGCAGGACGCGAGCCGGGCGTGGCAGCTTCCTTTCGAAGCGTTTGGGCGTAGGTCGGGGCAGAAAAAAAAGTGGCAAACTTGTGGGCGAGAGAGGCAAAGGACGCGGGAAAATGCGTGATGGGGCAGGAGGGCAGATGAGGGGATTGGTATTCCCCCGGTTGGGCATGCTCCTCCGCACCGGCCCTTGAGGCGGCTGCTGCAACGGGCGGCGTCCCAGGCATCTTAGTTGTGGGTTAGCCGAGTGACAGCGGACTGCAGGTCACATCCTCCCGCAGGATCACGCCCCGGCGCTCCGCCTGTGGGGCTATCTCCCAAAACCCCTTGGCTGAGTTACAGATCGAACGGGCTCGGCTCCAAGAAGTTTGGTATTCCCAAATAGCATTCCACAACCTGTGAAATGCGGTGACCGACGACGGCCCAGAGGCCACCCAGTCCAGGGCCAGAGACCCAGGAAAGGAGGCAGGCAGGCATGGACGCGGGGTTGTCACATCCACCCCTCGACCCACCCGAAGCCAAAAGGGGGGCTCCCCCATTCGGAGCCTCCTGGGAGTGAGGAGACCTTGGCGGGTGATTGTGCGCATCGGAGGGCATACCAAGGCGCCCCCTTTGAAGCCTCAGCCCAGGCTGCGAACCTCTCTGTTCCAAGACCGGACCCCCTGTGTTACAGGAACTGCTTTCTATTTTGCTTGTCTGCACACTTCCCCCGGTCGAGTTCCCGTACTCCCTTTACAGGTGACGCCATTCCTGCCTCCCCCCCTTGGTTCGATACGCCCTTCTTCATGCCGAGAATGGTCCCGAACCAGAGTGGTAAGATCTCCGGCGTGGCCTCCGTCCAAGTTTCCCCCCTTCGACACAAGACTGAATCTGCGAGAGCCCTGCGCCACTCCCGCCGAGTCCCCACACACGCGCGAGCGGGGCAGGCACGGCTGGCCGGCGGGGAGCAAAAAAGCAATCCACGAGCCTGTCACGTGCGTGTCACATTCACTTATCCGCCTGGCTTCCTTGAAGTCTCCGCCGAGGTGGTTCTAGGGGTATATTTCCGTCCCCTGCGAGGGGCGCCTCGCCCTGTTCGGGGGGGGGGGGGGAGGGGGGGGGGGAGAGAAGGAAAGCAACAGCATCTTGGGTGGGGGAGAGCGCAAATGGGAAAAGAAGGATCTCTCTCTCACACACACACACTTACTCTGGGGGCGAGCTCCGTCCGTAGTCTACTGCGCGGTGGTGGGGGCGGAAGCGGTGGCGGTGTTCATGTAGGAGTCGGCCGCGAGGAGAACCAAGCGGACCTGCCGACCCAGGAGCGCCTGCGGCGAGGAGTCGCCCCGATCCTTGGCGGCCATGTGGAGCACATCGTCACAAGCCAACCCGGCGGGGAAGAGATCCGGCCAGCGGTTTCGCAGGCTGGCCAAAGTCCCGGCCAATTGGCCGAGGATGATCAGCCGGTCGGTGGCATACTGCCGGACCAGGGGATTCTCCTGGAGGTGAGGCAGGGCCAGCAGGGCCTGGGTCTTGAGCAGGATCACCAGCAGAGCCAGGCGCCGGAGGACATCCACCGGCGGGTCGGCCATCGCGGCCACGAACCCGATGCTCGTGGCCATGGCACTGGCATCGAGCGACGGCTGCCGGTAGAGGTTGGCATCTTCCTGGATGAAAAGCTGGCAGCCACGCAGCGAGGGCAGGCGGATGCCACCCGCATCGGTGGCCGACTGCTTCGGCTGATGCTCCTGTGCATCGGTGGCCTCCCGGTCATCGACCGGGCGCTGGCCACTGGCCCAGAGGTGGGCACTGGTGGCCAGCTCGCGGCCGGCCTCCTGCAAGCGACCGGCCCAGGCCGCTTCATCGCCGGCAGCGGGGGCGGCAGTCACGCCAAAGTGCTCCAGAGCCAGATCCAGCAGGGCGCCCGGGCAGAGGGCCCCAGAAAGACACATCAGCCGGGTGACCGCCAGGGACCGGGCCACCAGAGGCGGGATGCCCGGGCCGGCGCCCGCGCCAACCTCCAGCGCTGGCAACAGGTTCGCCGCCAGGAGCGCCGCATCACGAACGGTCTGCGAGTCGTCCTGCAGCAGGAGGGCCAAGTGGAAGCAGAGGGCCGCGCCAGCACGCGACCCTGGCCGCAGGAGCGGCCAGGCCCGATGATCGGCCCCGGCCAGCAAGGCCACCAGGGCCCGGCAGACGGCCAGACGGCCGCGTGCCGGGCCGCGCTCCGAGCAGAGGGCCCCGAGCGAGCGGAAAAGCCGGGCCTCCTGCTCCCCCGACATGGACTCCCCGTTGGCGAGAGCCCCGACAAGGAGGTCCGCCAGAAGATGCAGCTGGGGGGCGGTGGCCGCCGTGACGCGTTGCTCGGCCACCCCGGCCTCCAGATCGGCCAGCTGGCTGGCCACAAGCTGCTGGAGGAGGTCCCCACCGGGGCTGGAGCGGATGCCTGCTGCCAGGGCCATGCCGCCAACATGTAGCAGGGCGTGCAGGGCCGCCAGCAGGACGGCCGCCACCTCGGGAACCGGCTCGCGCTGGCCGACAATCTGCCGAGTCAGATGCCGGGCCAGGACCAGGAAGCCCGGGTTGGTGGACATGGTGGCAGCGGAGGTGGCCGAGGCGGTGGCGAAGCGCAGGCGCTGGACCAATGCAAAGAGGGCCTCCTGCCGGGCGGCCGCCGAGAGGGATGCCATGGCATACAGCGGCAACAGGCGGGAGCGGAGCAAGTCGCCCTGTGTCGGAGACCAAGCCCCAGCAGCAAGGTCCCCCGCGCGTGGGGCACAGCCAGCCAGGGCCGCCACCGCCAGGGCCAAGTCCTCGGAAAGTGGCCCGGCGCCCGTGGCCCCGGGGCCCCAAATGTGCCGGAAGACAAAAGCCCGTGCCGTGCTCGCCAGCATCAAATCCAACCCCGGGACTACCGGGCCATCAGGCCGGCGGGCCATGCTTCGCGGGTCGACCAGGCGCACCAGCAGCCGAACCAGGGCCGGGTGCTCGGCCGCGCGGTCTACCTCGGCCGCCAGGGCGGCGAGAGCCATGGCGGCGACATCCGGCACCGGCGCCCCGGCCGCCGCCGCCTCCAGCCACTGAGGGAGGTAGTGGAGGACCAGCAGGGCCGTGTCCAGCAGGGCCGTATGGGCTGGAGCCACGGCCGGAGCCATGGAATTGCCGGTCAATGCCAGCAGCTCAGCCAGCACAGTGCACAGACTGGTGGCGATATCTGTGACGGGAGAGGGGGAGCAAGGAGTCGAAGAAGAGGAGGAAGAGGAGGAAGAGGAAGAGGAGGAAGAGGAAGAGGAGGAAGAGGAAGAGGAGGAAGAGGAAGAGGAGGAAGAGGAGGAAGAAGAGGAAGAGGAGGAAGAGGAGGAAGAAGAAGAAGAGGAAGAAGAAGAGGGATCGGGGGTGTTAGATGCAAGGGGCACATCGAGAAAGAAACCCAACACCAATGGCAGCCGGTGCAAAGACCCTTTTTGGCACATGCTTCCGACGTACCCTGGAGTGCAGCGGCCGACGAAACCAGCGGGAGAAGGCGCTGGGCGGCCATCTTGATGGCAAGCGCCGCCCCGTGCAGGGCATTCGGGCAAGCCACCCCGGAGGAGGAGGAGCAGGAGGACAGATCCTGGCGGAGGGCATCCGCCGCCGGGAGAACGATCTGTCCCATGAGGGCACCGGCCGGCACGATGGCGGTCACAGCTCGGACAGCCACCCCGCGCAAGAGCCAGTAGGTCCCGCCCCGAGCACAAGTCAGCAGATCGCGCGACAGCGTGGCCAGCAGGGTTGCCAGCTCATCCGACGAGAGGACCGCCGCCAAGTTGGGGGAGGCAGCAGTGCCGGAGCTGCTCGAGTCGGAAATCATGCCGGCCGGCGGCTGAGACTCGGTCCCGGCGAGGCTCGACTGGTCAAGGACAGGAGCAAAGCGCGACAGCAGCGACAGGATGGGGAAGAGCGAGCGGCCCGGCTGAGGGACGGCCACGTTCACGGTGTCCGCTCCACCGGTGCTCGGGGCCAGCTCATTCACAGCCATGGCTACATGCTTGCCCACGAAGGCCAGCAGCTGGGGGTGCTGGCTGAAGAACTTCCACGCGGTCAGTCGATGGCTGGAGGCCGCCGGGATGGCCGGCGCCTCAAAGTCCACCGTGGCCAGGGCATCATGATGCAGGCGCCCGGCCGCGGCATCCGAGGCGCTTGTGTGCGGGAACGAGCAGAGGGTCAGCTCCCCGTCGGACTGGGGGAGGTTCTTGGCCGGGCCGAACACGCGCCCAAGCAGGGCGCTGAAGAGCATCATGCCGGAGTTACGAATGTCCCAGCTTGACGTAGGGAGGGGGGAGGGGGGAGGGCAGCGGCGGCGGCATGCGAGACAAAGCGTCAGTCGGGTGCGGGGAGAGTGAGCGTGAGCAAAGCCGGGGCCCGACAAGGGGAAACCCACCACTGCGAGCTGAAGTGCGTGATGGACAGCTCAAAGGCGTCCGAAATGAAAGGCTCGATGAGAGTGGCGAAGGACGAGTGCACCGCCATGCCATGAAGGACATTCAACGAGTGGACCTGGGGGAAGTTCATGCCCGAGGCCGTATCGCGCGCAGGCCACCGAGCAATGTCCAGCAGCGTGCGGATGGTGGTCCGCAGCAGGGCCTGCCCCTCGGGGGTATGGAGGATCGGTGCAAACTACAGGCATTCGCAAGGGCCGGACAGGGGCCATGTCGAAGGTGAGCAGGAGGACGGCGAAGCAGGAAAAATAAGACCAAAATAAAAACAGACGAGGGACAAAAAAGAGAGGACACGCTCGAGTGTCAAATGTGCAAAGCAAAGGCCGAATGCTCCCGAGCCCCTCCCCCCCCCCCCCCCCCCCGGCAGAACACCCCGCCCTGCCGTGCCAGCTCCATGTGCGTACCAGAATCCGGAACATGACCGGCAAGCCGGCAGAGCGCCGGGTGATGGACAGGCTCTTGCCAGCGAAGAGGAGCCGCTCGAACCCGGCGCGCACCAACTCAAAGAAGGTGATCGGCCGGGGGTCCGACGTCGGGTGGTGAAGGGCGGCCGCCGCCTCGGGGGCAAGCAGGGCAGCCGGCAGGACCCAAGCAATTGCGCTATCAGCCCCGATGAAGGTGGGCCCTGCCACCAAGCCGAAATAGGGGGCCTCAGCCACTTCGGCAGGGGGCAGATCGAGCACCCCCTTGACCGAGGGGCCGCCCTGGCCCAGAAGCAGGAACAGCTCAGCCAGGTTGGTGTAGAGGGCCGAAATGCCACCAATATGGCGCATTGTCAGCAGGAGACTGACAAAGTACCGCGTCACATCAGCCAAGCTGTGGGGGGCCATCAAATGCCCAGCACGCGAGAGCAGCTCCACAAGCAGGGCACTAGTGGGGGGGGGGGGGGGGGGAGGGGAAGCCGGGCGGCAGTCAATAACAAAGCCAGCATCTGGCCGATGGCACAAGGCCGGACAGTGTCCATCTTGGCCAGGATGAGGGAAAAGGGGAGGCCAGCAAGAGGAGCAGGAACGGAAGGAGGAGGAGGAGGAGGGAGCGAGCGCACCATGCAGCCTTGATACTGCGCCAGCAAACACTCGTCAGGACCTGGTGCCAGCCACCAGTTTGGTCGGCATCCGGCGACTCGTCGTCGCTCACATCCCCGGCAGTCATGTCCTCATCCCCGAGGCCCGGGTGCGGGAAGTCCCCCTCGGCTCCCGGGAGTTGAGTCACATCGGCCGCCGAGTTGCCCTCCGGCGCCGGGACCGACAGCGGCTCGCGACAAGCCTCAATCTGCTGAACCAGGCTGGTGGTCAGGCGCAGAAGGAGGCCCGACCAGGCCCGACCAGCCGGGGTGCCCGCCTGGACGCCCGCCAGGTTCACATGGGCCAGCAGGCCACGCGTGACATTGAGCGTGCCGAAGGCCGGCCGACGCTGGCTCGCCTCCCAAAGATCGCCTCGAGCCATGGCGGCATCGGCCTCCAGGGCCCCGAGCAATTGGTCCAGCGAATGCCGCACCGGGTCCTCATCTTCGCCAGGCCCGGGGGTGTCCGCCACGCGGGCGGCCGGCTCAATCCCGGCCAGACGCCAGCCCAAACCGATGATGTACTTCTCAAAGAGAAGCCCCAGCACGCCGGCCGCCGCGTCGCTCGGCTGGCCGCGAGTGTTGTGCACCGCCACACGGAAGGCCGAGGCGAAGTAGACGGATGCCATGGCAGGCGTGCTGACACCGGGCCACGGGGCGTGCATCTGCCGAAGAAGCCCCAGGGCCTGGCCCTGGGTCCGGCGGTACGTGTCAAAGAGCGCCGTGTCCAGGAGAACCGCCACCAGGGCCGTCAGCAGGGATTGCTGCTCGGCCGCCTGCCGATCCGGGTCCGCGGGGTCGCTGCACAGGGCGAAGGTCAGCCGCAGGACATCCGCCTCGGTGATCCCGCCTCCGGGGGGCTCGGTGCGAATGATGGACTTGCCGGAAACCGGGTCCACCACTGGCAGACGCCAGCCGGCCAGATTGGACTGGACCGTGCTCGGAAGGGGCATATCCTGGCCAGAGGCAATCCCCAGTGTGGGCACCAGCGCGTGTAGCCAATCCAGGCAGGTGGACACCTGCTGGAATCGGGCGCCCGGCTGCAGACGTCCAACAAAGAACCGCAGCAAATCCGTCACAAAGGCCTCGGTCCGGGCAATCGCCGCATCCAGGTCGGCCACGCGACGGGCCTCGGCTGGGGTCAGCGACCCGCCGTCCCGGTCGCACTGCCGCCGCCGGCGGTAGTGCAGCGAGTAGTAGGAGTCCCGCACCCGGCGGAAGAGCCGGCCCAGCAGGATCGACTGCTCGTGGCGGAATTCCGTCGACGACTCTTGCAGCGCATTCGGCAAGTACACGCGCAGAAGGAGGTGGGTCTCCCGAGGCGACAGAGGCTACAAGAGGGGGGGGGGCGAGAAGGGGCGGACCGGAAGGAATGGCCGCGGGGGATGAGGTTAGGAAGAGCCTGAGCTCCGAGGCAGGACGAAGGAGATCGCAGAAAGCGGCGCCCAGGCGGCAAGGAGAGGAGGGAGGGAGCACAGGCAGCGCAAAGGCCGCAGGAGGGCAGGCGGGCAAGGCGAGGAGGGGCATTGACACGCCAAAGGGTACCTCGATCTTGTGGCTGTTGCAAATGATCCCCAGCGCACCGAGACGCGTGAAGGAATTCGACACCGAGAGGGCCTGCTCCAGCAGGAAGTAGGACACCACCGGCCGGCCGAGGGAGAAAATCTGCCGGAGTTTGGCGGCACCCGCGCGCGGAAGTCGGCGCGGCCCCTCAACCGTTGGGTCCTCCGGCTGCTCGGCTGCCGCAGCCTCCTCCTCGGGCGTCAACGGCGGGAGGATGCTCACAAAGGGATGATCCACCCCCAGGGCCTCGGAGAACATGCCCATGTCCAGGAGGGACTCCTCGCGACCCAGGCGCACCAGGGCCACCAGGGCACTGAGCCAGGACCACGGCTGGTTCGGGGCCCGGGCAAAGGCATGAGGCGTCAGCCCTGGCTCGCGGGCCAGAACCTCCTCCAGCAGGAGGATCAAATTCTCCGGGGCCACGCGCAGAACAATCCGCAGACAGTAGGTCTCGATGTCACGCCGGGTCTCGGCCGAGTGCTCCTGCAGGATGATGTCCACAATGGGCCGGATCCAGCCCATGACCACGGCCCGACGGGCCGCCGGGTCGGACACGGACTTGGCCGCCAGTTGCAGGCACCCCTCCAGCAGGTCGCTGGCCAGGAAGGCGCACTGGGTGTACGTGGTGAAGGCGGCCAGGGTGCCGGCCACCACAGCGCGATAGGTGTCCTCGAAGGCCAGCAGGTCGATGTGGGCAATGGCCAGGCGCAGAGCCTTGTACATGGCCTGGGAGGGTGGCGAGCCAGGGAGGGAAAGGGGAACAGCAAAAGGCAGAAAAGAGGGGAAAAACAGAGAAAGGGCAGGGCGCAGCATCAGCATACATGCACAGGTGGGATGGTGAGAGCATGGGATCGGCCGTGGCATGGTACCTTTGAGTGCCACCCCAGCGAGAGGATGCGCGAAAGGAAGGCCTGCGGGCCGAAGGTGCCACCTTCGGCGGCCGCCGGCAGGAAGGGCATCAGCGACAGGAGGTTGGACAGGGTGGTGCGAATGCTCGGCGCGGCGGCATTGGCCAGGGAGTTGTCCCACACCTGGATCACATAGTCCAACACCCAGCCGAGACCGGCCCCCTGCAGCAGGGCCTGGCAGTCGGCAAAGGCAAAGCCGGCTGGCAGGTCGGTCGGCGCCTTGGCCGGGGTGCCGCCAGCCCGGCGGCCGGAGGGTTGCTTGTCAGCCGGGCCGGTCTGCCGGGCCAGGCGCAGGAGTTCGCTGGTCCAGTCAGCCAGGACACTTTGCAGCTGGGTCGAATCCTCGCCCTCGAGACCACGCCCGGCGAAGTCCCCCAGCACTCGGGGCAGTCGCACGGCCAGCAGCCCGGCGTCCTCGCTCAGCAGGGCCGCCCGCGGCAGGCCCCCAAACATGCCTCGCAGGATGGCCAAGCCCGCGGCCGGGCGCATGTCGCCCAGATGGGCCAGCAGAAGCTGGTCAAAGACCAGCGCATCCGAGTGCGCGACGCCCGCGGTCACAGGCGCCGGCAGGGCGCCGCCAGACGCCCGGACCGCCATCGACCACCCGGGACAGGAGACAATCTGCCCGCACAGCATCGACAGGTGGAACACCATGTTGGCCGGGACGTGCTCCGATCGAGTCATGCAAAGGGCACGCGTGCCAATCACAATGCGAGCCAGGAGCCCCGGCACAATATCCCCATCGGCCTGGGCGCCGGGGGGCTCCTCCGGCTCCGTGCCATGGACCAAGCCCGGGGCACCGAGCAGGCGCCCGTATTCCTGGTGACCGGGGATCTGACGGAACAGGGTTTGCAGGACGCCGGACATGGCCTGGATGTGGAGGGCCTGGACAGCGAGCACCGGGGCCCCCGGGTCGGCCGTGCCTGCCAGCGAGGCCGCCGCCGCGTCCAGCTGCCCAGCAAGCAGGCCCAGGCAGGCGGCGAAGCGGTTTTGGATGACGGCCACGCCAATCGGCTCTTCGAAGGCGGCAGATGCCAGGAGCTTCAGAGCGTCCAATGTAGTGAGCCGAGGCAGAATCGAAGTGATCGGGCCCGGCCCGGCAAGCACCTCGGCCGGAGTCACAGCGGCCGCAGCGGGCAGCGGGACTTCCCGACCGAGAACCAGTCGGTCGACGGTCAGGAGGATGCCGGCCGCGACCAGCTGGCTCCGGGGCCCGGCATAGTCGGCCGCCAGGCGCAGGGCCCCGGGCAGGGCCTCGACCACGGCCAGCGGGGCCACAGAGGGAGCCCACTCGGGCGGGGCCTCGGACCGGGCGACCGCGCGCAGGAGATTGCCCATCAGGGCCAGCAGCGGCCGGCGGATTTTCGACTGATCGGTGCTGAAGAAGCAGGCACTGACCAGCCCGGCGAAGTGGAAGGCAAACTGCTCGGCCGTCGTGGACCCGAAGAGATCCGCCTCCGGGGCCGGGGCCCGGCTCACAAGACCCACGGCATCTGCCAGGCGACCAATCTGCCCGGAGGCCTTGGACAGGTCCAGACGCAAAGCTGCCTGCAGGTCGGTGGCCCACTGCCGCAAGGGCGCCTGGCCAGATTCGACTGCCAAGTGGCATGACTGGTCGAGGGAGCAGCGGAAGTGTGCATCGCCCTCGACCGGCAGCCAAGCTGGGGGGGTGAATGGGGCCGCAGAGGCCATGTGGGGCGGCGAGGGGAGGAGGGGAGCGGGGAGAGGGAGGAGGGAGGAAGGGCAATGGCCGAGGGGGAGGATTTGTGTATGTGTGTCTGCGTGTGCGCGCTATGCGTGTGAAGGAGGTGGGGGGGGGGGGGTGGTAGACGAGCCCTGTTGCAGGGACCGGGTGTAAGCGCAGCCCAGAGGCCCGAGCGCGACAATTGCGGATCAGAAATACAAGGCCCCGGATCTCGCCCTGCCGGGGGGGGAGGAGGAGGCGGCCCCGCACACACCCACCCAGACACACCTCCGCCCTGGGGTCCTCCGGCCGGGGGGGGGTCCCCTGCTGACAGGGCTATGTCGGCCGTGCGCCGGCGCTCACTGACGAGGTGCGCGCGCCCCGAGTGGAAGGAGGCCTGGAAGTGGCGCGCCTTCCGGGCGGCCGGGCGGCCAGGCGGTGGCTGTGGCTGCGACGCCGGGGGCGGCCGCCCCCCCGCGGGGGCTCCGCGGGGGGGGGGGGGGGGGGCGGCCGCCACGCTGGATCGCACCATGTGCGAGGGCGGGCGGATCTAGCCAAGTCCCAGCGCATGTACACGCTCTTCGCTGGCAGCTGGACACGCGGGACGGGAGCAATGGCAGCTCAGGCGTCTAGCGGTTACGCAGGGGGTGGCGCCACGGGCTTTCCAAAAACGCGTGCCGCCCACCCTTCCGCATGCTCCGAACGCGCGGGCTTCTCTGCCGAATGCCGTCCAGGCTCCCGTCGGGGAGCGTGACTCGATGGGGGTGGGGGGGGAATACAGATGCCCTCCTGCCTTCGCCCCCTCCCTTCCGCCGCCGTGGGCGGAGAGACGGCGGCTGTGATATGCCATCAGTGTGTGCTATAAATGCAGGCAAGGGGGAATGTTGCAGGTCAGGCTGCCCGTAACATCATTCCCCTCCGCTCATTGCAAGATCTCTCCCTCCCTTTTCCCTCTTCCCTTCTTCCCTGGCTAGACGGCCTACTTCACACGCTCTTGCACCCAAGCGTCCAGGACACATTCAGATCATCCTCGGGTCACGGCTTCAACGTACCCCCTTTTGTACCCCCTCCAACACCCCCTTGGAGATTTAGACATGTGCGTCCCCCTTCTTTTCGCGCCTCGGCGTCCCTTCAGTCGCGCCAGCTAACTTACGCTCCTTTGGTCTCCCCCTCTCTCCCTCCCCGCCTCCTGTCCTTCCTCCCTCTCGGCCTCTTCCCTTCTCGCGCAAGCACAGCATGTCTGGCTTTGGCTCTGGTGGTCACTCTGGCCGCGGCGGCTTCGGCTCCGGCGGCTTTGGCGGCGGCGGCGGCGGCGGCGGCATGCCACGCTTCAACTCCGGTGGCGGCGGCGGCGGCGGCGGCGGTGGCTACTTCGGTGGCGGCGGCGGCGGCGGCGGCGGCGGCGACATGTACGATGGCGGCTCCATGGGCGGCGGCGGTGGTGGCGGCTTCCTCTCGCATCAGGGCGACTATGGCAACTCGCCGAGCATGTCCTCTCCCTCTCTGGATGGCTCTTCGGGCGGGGGCTTCGGCCAGCAGCGCCCGTCCGATGCCCCGCGTGGCATTCTCGGCCACAACTCCGTCCTGCCGGTGACCATCAAGCAGCTGGTGGACATTGACGTGTCCAAGATGGTGGATTCCGACGGGAGCATGCAGATCGACGGGCAGACCATCCACATTCTGTCAATCATCGGTGTCATCCGCGCGGTGCGGGAGACCACCACCACGGTCACCTACCTGGTGGAGGACAGCACCGGGTCCATTGACATGCGCAAGTGGCTGGACCGTGATGCCGGGGATGGCGATGCGGCCATCGAGGAGCAGGCTCCCAGCCTGCCGGAGGGCACCTATGTTCATGTGTATGGGAACCTGCGCGTCTTCGACAAGCGCAAGAGCATCAACATCAGCCACATCCGCCCGGTGACCGACTTCAACGAGGTTACCTACCACTTGCTGGAGACCATCCATGGACATCTGTACCGCACGCGCGGCCCGGTCGGTCGCATGCGCACCAATGTCCCCACTGGCGAGGCGGCCGAGTCCAAGCCGCTGGTCGGCGGTGGCGGGGCCCCGGCCGCGTCAGCCCCCTCGGCCGCCGCCGCCGCCGCCGCCACCACCACCACCACCGCCACCAATGCCCACGACTATGGCATGCAGGCCGGCGGCCCGGCCGCCGTCAAGCAAATGCAGCCCACGCACATGGCCCTGCTGCACTTCATTGCCGAGGCCGATGACATCGAGATCCCCTTCTCCTATCTCTCGGAGAAGATGCCCAACTTTTCGCCGGCGCAGCTGAGCGAGGGCATTGAGTTCCTCAAGGCCGAAGGGCACATCTATGAGGGCGTGGCTCCCGGGTCGGTTCGTCTGACCACCCGCGACTCCCTGGATTGAGGGGGGCATGCCCGGCGGTAGATATCCGCCCCAGAAGCGCATCTCCCTGCCCGGTGTCCCTGTTGGGCTCTCTTCCGGCCTCTCTCCTTCCTGGTCCCTGACATGGGGCATGTCCACACACGATGTATAATATGACGAAAGCAAGAACCAGACCACAAGTTGGCCTCGATGTACAGGGGAGGGGGGGGGGGGGGGGACACTATGGGCTCTGTGCAACCGGGCAGGCCTGATCCCCTGAGAGGGGGAGTGGGAAAGGGGCGCGCTTCGAATGGCGGGAGGGGCGGAGACTTCCACAGCAGGGGCGGGCAGTCTAGGTGATGGTCGTCGAGGCCGGGAGGACCGCCAGCCGGCGGTGGAGCATGGTCGGAGGGGAGCCGGACGATGCCTGAACCGACTGGAGGTGGCGGTTGGCCCGCGAGAGGGTCACAGTCGGGGGAAGAGTTACATGTGAATAGCGTGTGCCATCGGCTTGCGCCGAGATGCCATCAACGGTTACCCCCTGGAAGGGGGCAAACAGTCGGAGGATGTCCTCCGAGGAGGAATGCTCCGTCGCCAGTGGATGCAGAATCCAAGTGGTCGACCGAGAGGGAACTCGCGGCGGCCGAGGCGAGAAGGCCGAACCGGAGCCCGACCCGGGGGACGAGGTGCAACCCGAGCCAGGGGTCGAATCGTCGGCCAGGGTCGAGGCCACGGGCGGATCCGAAGCCGACCCGGGAGCCGGATGGGAGGTTGTCCCGGATGAGTCGTCCAGGGGGGTGGGCAGCTGTTGCGAGCTGGCCGGCTTCTTCTTGGGCTTCTTGTTCTTCTTCTTGTCAGACACCTTCGACCAGTCGAGTCCCGGCGAGGGGGTCTCCGGGCAGTCCGAGGCGGGGACCACGGAGGCCGGCACCGGGTAGGCTCCGCCATCCCCCCGGTCCTTGGCGCTCGGGGGGTCCTCCTTGCCAGCCGGGATGCCGTCGACACCGGGAAGATCCTCGCGGTCCTTCGGGGCCACGGGGTCGCGCCCGGCCTTGGGGCCTGTGTGATCCTTCCGGTGGGGTGCCTTCATGGTCGACTTGCCGGGCTTTGGGCTTGGAGCATCGGCAGCACCAGCCGACATCGAGGGGTGCGAGTGGGCGTCGGCGGACTTGCCCCGGGTCGAGGCACCAGCTGCCTTGGAAGTGGAGCGCAAGTCCTTGAGCTTGGGGGAGGTGGGCCCCCCGGTGGCGAGGTCGCCCTTGTCCAGGCGCCTGAGCAGTGTCACCGACTTCGAAGGAGGCGGAGGCGGCGTCGAGAAGGGGCCGCTGGCGTGCTTCGGGCTTTTGAACGGCGACGGGGTTGCCCTCGAAGGGCCGGTCGATTGGTCCTTCCCGGGGACCTTCGCCCCGTGGATAGGTCGCGTGGTCACCGGCCGGCCGGCTGCCGGGCCGGCCGCCGGACTGGCCACAGGACGGCCCGCCTGGCCAGCTGCCGAGCTGGCTGTCGGGTGGTTGGCCATCGGGCTGGCCACCCGGCCGGCCGGGGGGTCGACCGCAGGAAGGCCCATCGGGCTGGCCGCCGGGCTGGGGGTCAGCTCGGCCGCCGGGCTGAAATACTCCTCACAGGCAGGCCATCCCGGCGTGACCCCCATGCTTGGAGGCATGCCCTCCGGCTGCGGAGCCAGCCCCGGGCCGGTCCCGTAGAACATCAAGGGGCGCCCGGGAATCGGAGCAATCGACGGGTGGTGCGCCACCAGGCGCGGGTCCACAGGCGAAGCCATGACATGATGGTGGGGAGGGGGATAGAAGCAGCCTGTGGCCAGACGGGGGGGGGGGGGGGGGGCGGGGAGCGGATAAAATGGTGAGCGTGGTCCAAAGGGGGCAGGGGGAAAGGGGAAGGGCCGAGGGAAGGGGGCAGAGACTGGCGGCGAGGGAATAGCGCGACATACGCAGGTGCAGGAACTCCGGCTTGATGGCATGCGGCTGCGAGGCAGCCGAGTCAAAGACAACCTCAACCAGGCCATTCGGCAGGCTGCCCACGAGGGTGGCCGGGTGGAAGAAGTTGTCGGTCCAGGGGGCGTACAGGCGCAGCGGCTCCGCCAGGGAGGCCGCAAAGACGTCCATCGGCGTCGAACACTGCGGGTGCTGGTGCCGGGGCCCCGGCGATGGCAGGGACTGCGGCGGCGGGGCCACGATCGGCGAAACCGGCGGCAGCCCGGGGCTGTGGAAGCGCCCAGCCAGCAGGCTGTGCTGGTAGAGGGCAAAGAGAGCGCGCTCCGGGGAGATGGACCGCAAATTGCCCGCCGGCGTGAAGGCCAAGTGCGGGGTGAAAAGTGGGTGCACCAAAACCTGCCCATCCCCCGAGCTTGGTGCCAGGATCACCATTGACAGGAGGAAGTTGCCGGATGCCTCGCTGTAAGCTTCGACAAGGGACCCGGCGGCCGGCCAGCACGGGCCACCATGGGGCAGGGGGTCCGACATGTGCCCCTTCGGCAGATTCATGGTCCTTCTTCTTTGAAGGATACAGAGCCTGGTGCTCTGGGCTCGGGGAATCGGGAGGAGTGGATGCGGGAGGGGGGCGGGGGAGGAGCGAGGCAGGAAGGAAGAGGGAGGAGGGAGGAGGGAGGAGGAAGGGGACAAGAAGGTGGCATACACAGAGGCCGGATGGCGTGAGCGGAAGACAGCTGACCAGGGCCTGAGACGGGCCGGCCGCGCCCGGTGGTGGTGGCCGCACTAAAATTTGGATGACCATCCCCGTCGGCCTGGGCCTTGCCCGGCCCTCTCATTTGCCCTCCCCCTCCCCCCTCGCCCTTCTCGGAGGTAGATCTCCGGGATCAAGGGAAATGAGCGTGCTGACCGGATTGGCGCTCATCGGCACCGGCGCCCAGAAAGGGGTCGGTAGGGAGCGGGATAAATTGCGGTACACCCACGCGCCATGGCCCGGGGGATGCTTCCCGCCGGCGGGGAAGGGGGTAGGGATCCGCCAAAGGCACACGGAGACCCATCCGGAATCGATGGAAAAACGGCGGGAGCGAGAGAAAAAAAGCTCTCCCCACCAACAAGCTTGACGACGGATGACATGGTATCCGCCTCGGCTTCTGCCCACTCCCTTAGCCTGCATGTCCGCGTCTCCGCTCGTTCTCCCTTTTTCCCAGCCGGCCTGTGACGCAATAGCACTTCCTCGGGGACCGCTCGCCGTCCGGTCCCTGCTTCTCGGCGCCACGCCGGCCCTCGGGGTGGTGAAAGAGAAAGAAAGCCGAATACTCCCCGCCCGGCTCGACTTTGAGTTGCCCCCCTCCCCTCCCCCCCCCCCCCCCGACCCCCAGCGGCCTCGTGAAGGGGACCCCTGCACAATCCTGTCACGGAAACCCAGTGCAAGAGGGCTCATTTCCGGCGGCGCGCCGGTCGGGCACATCCCCTATCCCGCACACCACCACCCTCCCGGGGGCGGCTCCCGCAGGGATGGCCGTCTCCCCCCCCCCCCCTCGCTCCGCCCCCACGCTCCCCCGGCCGCCGCTCGGTAGCCGGTTGGACGAAGCGCCCGAGATGTGGCTGTCCACATCTTTTCGGGAAGCAATTCAAACGAGGGCATGGACTGCCAACTGTGGCTGGGTTCTCACGGATCCAGCCTTACGTCAAAGCCTCACTCCTTTGACGGAAGCTATACCGGAAATCCTGCCACTGCGAGGGGACTCCCCCGGGGGGGGGGGGGGGCATCAAGGGGGAGGGCGCACCGAACCAGGGGATACGGCCATAGCCCGAAAGCGGGGTGGACACAACAACTCGTGCACGGCCAACTGGGGGGATAAGGAAAAATAAAAAACACTTCGAATAATAAAAAGGGCCGTTCGTGATGGGGGAAGCCTTGGAGTAGATGGCCACCGGCAGGACCGCGGCCCCAGGTTTGCCTTCGCGTTCTCCTTGGAGGGCCCGCACACAGCCGCAAAGGCCTTCGCTCTTGGGAGCCCCCTTATTTGGCCCTGGACTCGGCCGAAGGGAGGATCTGAGACCCCAGCGCGCGCGTCTCGGTGTCTCCCTCCTGTGGTGAGCCGCCATGGTGGCCGTGCGCCGGGGGCCCCTCTCCTTGGCTGTCTTCGTACCCCGCGTTCCTCCTCGGGAGAATGCTATTCCACAATGAAGGGCCATCTCACGGGACTGGATTCGTGTAGAACGTAACTCATTGACTGATGGGCTTGATCGGGTTTGGAGGATACCCCTCCGCGCGTTATATCGAACGGCGCCCCCCCCCACCCCCCCCCCCAGAGGAACGTCGGGTCTGACAACGGCCCGCCAGCCGCCGATATTGCACAGGTGTGTGTGCGCTCCTCGCGGGGGAGGGCGTTGTGTGAGGGGCCGGGCCCCGTCGCGTAGGGTCTTCAAATCCACCCCTTGACTGGATCCAAAGGCCAGAGAAGGCTCGGCCCAGGGGGCCCGTGAGAGCGTAAGACCGAGCAGCCGCTTGTCGAAAGGTATGCGGGGGTGATGATGGCGCAAGTGCCAGCCTGTCCAATGAGTGCCTATTCCAGTGCCTCCTTTTGAGGGGCCCTGCCTGTGTCCCGACTTTCTTCCCATGTTGCCCGCTCGCACACTTGACCCAAGCCATCTTACCGGCCCTCATTGATACAGACCCCAGACGGGGATCCCCCCCTTGGTCGATATGTTCCTCTGCCCTCGTGCTCGAAGGTCAGCCACCAACAGCGGGCCTTCCGGCACAATCCTCACAAGGATTCACACTGGTCCGGCGCAGGATTAAGCCGAGAGGAGTGCGCCACGGTCCCAAGCGCGAAATCGGCCCGGCATCTGCAGGATCTTTCCTTCGGACAAGGGCCCTGAGCGAGTTGCTAGCGGATGTGGGTCGGTCTTTCCGACGGCCTTGCTCCTTCATTGGCACCTACCACACGTCCGGCTTTTCTCTGTCCGCTCACAGAGTCGCACAGTTGCATGGGCAGTCGGTGCTGTCCTTGAAATGACAAGGCATGTGATCAAGGTCACCGGGCAATGACAAGCCACTGCTGCCACCACTAAACGGACACCCCACATCGACGATACTTATCCGAAGCTGTCCTGGCCGATCTCGGCGCGGTTGAGCCCAGATTCCAGAAGTGACCATTGCGCATCTCCCCCCCCCCCCCCCCCCCGCTTTCCCTCCCCCCCCCCTTCCAACATGTCTGGCAAGCTTTCCAAGAGCGACACCACCCCGGCCGCCACCCCGGCTGCCCCGGCTGCCGAGGCTCCGGCCGCCCCGGCTCCCTCCCTATTCGCGTCCCTCGAGGAGGATGACGAGTTTGAGGAGTTCGTCACTGAGGGTACGTGTCGCCCCCATGCTGCCTCTTTGTCCCCTCCCTTCAACCTGCTGCCGTGTTTCCTGCCTCCGAGCCGGTTCTCTCGCTCGAAAAGAAGAAGCTCACTCCAATCCCGCCTTTCCGACACCCAGAGTGGGACATTTCCACCGCCGGCGATGCTGCCACCAAGGTCGAGGCCCTGTGGGAGGAGAAGTGGGACGACGACACCATCGAGGACGACTTCCTCAACCGCGTCAAGTACGTCTTCCTGTCTTTCCTCTGGGATCGCCTGTCCCCGCCAGAGGGATAGATCCCTTCGCCCGATCGACATTCCCTCGTTCATCTCCGTCCATCCGTCTCCCCCTCCTCCCCCCCCCCCTCTATCTCTCTCTCTCTCTCTCCCTCCCCCTTCCTCTCCCATGTGTACTGACCACCCCATTTTTATCCCTACACAGGGCCGAGCTTGACAAGGTTAAGAAGTAATTTCACAACCCGTCCCCCTCCCCCATCCCACCCGCCTGCGCACTCGTTTTAAGTGTCATCCCCTCTGCCATTGCCCCAATCCAGCCTTCTTCCTTCCCTGCGCCAGGCGCGCTTGGCCTCCCAATAAAAAGAAGAATAAAATACAATCCTGACAAGGCTTTTTTTTCCCCCCTCTCCCCCCGCTTGACGTGGCATTTCCTGCCGGTATCAGAGCATCGGGAGAGGGCAGATCGGCTGCCCCCTAGTCCGAGTCGACATCCCCGCCGTCATACTCGCTGACCAGTGTCAGCGGAGACCGCAGGGACGACGACTGCCGTGCCTGGGCCGTTTGGCGACGTAGGAGCACCCCCTCCAGCAGAGGCGTTGATTCGGAGGACGACCCACCCGACCCGAGGCTCGGGCTTCCCGCGGCGCCTCCCAAAGCAAAGGCACCGACCGAGGGGCTGTGCGTGCCGCTGCCACCCATGGACACCGGGGACAGGCCGCTCGGGCCCGAGATCCCGGCCACTGCCGCCTCGAGCCCTGGTGAAGATCCACTTAGCAGGGTCGACAGGCCGGTGGACAAAGACGATGCCCGTCGCATGTATGAACTGTGAAGGGCCGCCGCCCGGCTGCTCCCGAGCGGCGAAAGGTACTCCACGCCAGCCGGCGATCCGGATCGCGTGCCGCCCACCGTCGACGGTGACAAAACCGACAGCGAGGAGGAAAATGCCCCGGCCAGGTGCGAGCCCTGTCCATGCATCATGGGGGAGTATCCGCTGCCGGCGGGACTGCCAGCCGCCGGACTGGTGCCCCCGAACAACGGTGATGCATACAGCGAGTATGACCGCGAGAGGGAAGACATGCCGGTGGGGTTCAGCTGTGCATCCTCCTCCTCCTCCGAGGCCAGGCGGGCGTGCAGCGGCGACATGGTATCCGGCGAGTCGAGCGACGAGCGCGACGCCATCGACACCGAGGACAGCCGACGCCGGCGATTGAGAATCCGCCCAGCGGCGCCAACCGGCGTCGGGGTTGTTGGGCCCGCGGGCGAGGGCGACCCACCGGCCGAGCGGACGCCCCCCCCCAGGGACACATGGCTGCCATCGCCCTGCGCCAGTCCAAGAGATGCCGGCTCCGGGAGCAAATCAAACGGCGACTCCCCGGCCGGCAGGGGCGTGGCCGCGCGCGAATGCCGTGATCCCTTCTCGGGGGTGGCCTCGGGCGAAGAGGAGGCCGGGGACTCCCCCGGCCCGGCCGGATCAGCCGGCAGATCATACCCGAAGGACCGAGGCGACACGAAACCCAGCCCATCGGCCAGCCCTGCTGTTCCCGACGTCACGGGAGTGGACGGCGATGTGAGGAATTCACTGAGCAGCGAAGTCGGCTGAGGCCCGGCCGAGCCGAACCCCGCTGAGGCCCCCGATGTCCGTGCGGTTGTTGAGGCCCCCCCCGGCGTCGGGCGCATCGCCCGCACCGCATAGAAGATGGTCCTCTCGGTGGCCCAGATGCCATATGCCAGGGCTGTGTGCACGGTCGTCGTTAGTCGGGTTGGCACATGCATGTCCCCCCCCCCCCTCCCCCCTGTCCCGGACAAGGGTCGGCTCACGGACAGAAGGGCAGGGAGCCCCGGTGCGGCCACATACCACGGAGAATCCAGGAAAGGAAAAGCCACCCATGGTCGCGGAAGGCACGGGACGAGCGGTCCTGCTCGTTGTCCGCCTCGTCGAGCAGGGCATCCACGCGAGCCAGCCTCGCCAGGGAAGACACATGAGCCCCAGCACTGGCTCCCCCATTGAAGGAGGACTCATGGTACCCGGTGCCGGTTTCCGGAAGGAGGTCCTGTGCCAGGGACATTTTGCTCACCAAGTCCGCGGCGGTTGAGGAAATCCTTCGCAACATGGGTCAGCCCGGTGCGCAAATGCCGGGCCATCGGCCAAGAGACATGGCGAGGCACGTACCGGAGGTGCTCCACCTCCACACGCGACAGGAGGGAGGAAAGACGCTCGACGGCCAAATTGACTGCCCCAAGTAGCCCGTCCCCGGACTCGGGCGTGTCGGCCTCCGGCGCCGTGGTTGACAGGAGCAGCGATCGGAAGAGCGCCCGATCCGAGTGAACACGGGCCTCAAACACCAGCATCGTATCCAGGAGGTTCTTCTGTCCTTGGGTGGCAGGTGAGCCGAGAGGTGCAAGACGCACGCGTGGCAGGGGCGAGGGAGGGTTTGGTTTCTGTTCTTTCTCTTCTTCGCCGCACACGGACCTGATATGTGGGGATGACATTCGACACGGCCTCCCGTGCTTCGCTGTCCCAGTGGGCAATGAGAGACCCGAGAATGGCGGCATCGGCGGCTGGCGCGGGAGCTCCCGTTATTCCGCGAGCAGCGCCAGCCGGCGGGGCGATGAGCGGCGTGTGCGGCGACGCCGAGCGGGTCAGCTGGACACCCGGGCGGGCTGGCGACAGTGTCACCAGGCCAGCCGCCCCGGAGGAGGGCAGGGAGTTGTAGGTGGCCGGATGTGGGGCCGGAGTCGGGGGAGCCGGCGCGCTCGCGCCACTGCCCGAGGGATAAACCCGGGGCTTGATGTTCGCATAGAAGGGATCCGCCGACAAGGGGGACGCGCGCGCCGGGATATTCACCGTGTCCAAGTGCGCGGGGAGGGTGGGGAAGCGCGTGCTCGGGGCGGCCGGATTGGCGGCCGGAACCGCGCGCTTGGTGGGCCCCGGTGGATCAACATGACCAGCCGGTCGACGTGAAGGGCTTCCCGAGGGGGCGACCGCATCCATGGAAACCACATCGGCCAGGGACTCGGGCTCGCCCGATTGTGTGGGATGCAATCCGGCAGCCGGTGCTGCGCGTGGGACCCCTCCCTGAGACAGTGGCGGCAGGGGCGGCAATGAGGGCAGCGGCGGTGTGCCTCCCGCCGAAGGGGCGGCTGTGTTGCTGGCCCACGAATTCGTCAGCAGCACCGAGCGAAGTTGTGCTTCCAGGGGAGATGGGCCGATTGGGCGCTCGGCGTGGGCTGGCGGCTCCGAAGGGGCGGAGATGCTTGGCGCACTCGGTGCCGGGGTCGAAGTGGCCGGTGCTGCCGACGCAGCTGGCACAGCAGAGGCAACCGCGGCAATCGGCCCGGCGGAAACCGCCGCAGCACCCGGGGCAGCCGGCTGCATACCAGCCAGGGAGGACTCGGAGAGATTCGACCGGACCTGCCTGTTCTGATTGGACATTTGCCCCCGTCGAATGTCATGCTTGCGGGCCGAGAGGAAGGAAACCAAGCTCGGCTGCTCCTCCTCAACCGGCAAGGCGCTCGGGCCGGGTTCTGAGGGCGGAGCTGTGGAGAGGCTTTGGTCTGCTCGAACCTGGCGCCCATCTGACGATCGGCCCAAAAGCTGGCGGATATCAGGGATACCATCTGCATAGTCCGGAGGTCAGATTGGTGGGCTTGCGGGTCTGGGCCCAAGGGGCGGGGGAAAGAAGAAGGGAGGAGGGGGAGGGGGGGAGGGGGGGCGGGACATCGCGAAAAGCGAGGTCGGAGTGGGCGAACGTGAAGGCGGCGATACCTTGCGAGCGACCGTCCAGCTTGGGCGATCCCGAACTCCCGGTCGACATCTGGGCTATGGCGGAAGGGCTCAGAACGTCTGCAAGAAGGTGTGGGGAAGACAGAGGACGAAATGGTGCGTGCGTGCGTGCGTGCGTGTATGTCGGCGTGCGAGTGTGGGGGGGGGCGACAAGGAGGTGTGGGCTGGGGCCGCAGGCGGGGAGCGGGATGTGTGCGCCTACGATCTCCCGTCGAATGTGTGCTTCCACAAAATGGCCTGAAAGAACCCGGCACGGGAAAGATCGCCTCAGAGAACATACCCACATGCCAACGAGCCCCGGGCGACTGTTCCCTGCTGTTGCCCGCCCCCCGTTCCGATCAAACGGTTGGGCATTGTCTACCACCATCGGGAGCCAGAAAAGAACGAGAGGAAGATTTCGTGCCTCCGGCCCCCCCC